AACACATTTTTGAGTGGAGGGGGCCTAAATATAAAAAATATTGTCTACAGCAGCTTTAAAGTAAGCTTGCCACAAAGTTGCTATACTGAAAGAAGAGCAACAGCTGGCTCTTATGAAACTTGAGTGGTAGTGACATGAGTGCAATTACTGTAGCTCTTTCTGGCGTAATGAATAGCAATCCTTCATTGGAACTGCTTGTTTGGTGATGGTTTCTGTTTAGTTTATAGTTTATACGGTCATCCAGACAAAGATGTAAACATTTTACTGTTCTTGCAATGAAGAGAGGCTCTTTCAACTGAAACCTATTTCTGCAACTGCATTGCAAAATCCATAAAGTTTGTCATGTTATAACTGCTATCGCTATGCAAGCTACTATAGCTATCTGCAAGTTAAGCATCTATCTTCAACAAGTTTCATAAGAAAATGTGCAAGGAAGAGTGGGAGACTAAACCAGAAGTATCAGGGATAGTTATGCATATTTTCACTGCCTGACCGTCTGGAAACAAATGAATGACAAACATTCAAGAGAGAGATACAAAATATGTGGTACGGCTAAACATTATCTCAGCATTTGTTTGCATAGATGTATACCCACATGCAAACATACATGTGCAAGCGTGTGTGAGCATGTGAGCATGTATTACAAATCAACTACACTTTCAAGGTTTTCAGACAGCCCTGCTAAAAAGGCCTGGCCCAGAGCGAATGGCACAACTTAAGACATTGGTGACTGATGACATTAGCAGAGATCAGACAGTAACCCCCCCCCCCCATCCCCCAAATTGTCTGGAGAGCACAAGAGGAATATTTACATGGCTGGATGAGCTTTCCTTATAAACCACTCACTCCACAGCCACTCAGCCGACCAGGGTGCAGGCTTTCAGTGGCCTTCTCTTTCAAAGGTACAGGACTTTTAGGCCACTTCCACCCCCTGTGATGTCTGCACGTGTGGATTTGTAAGATGTGGTTTTGAGTCAATTAAAGGCACTCGTAATGAAAACTTAACAGCCAACAACAGCCTCCATGACAACACGATGTGTACGAGTGGGACGATGAACACCTCTGTTGAGACCTGAAATAAGAATTCCTTTCCTTTAACTCACGTTCAAAATCTGTGAACAGGGAAATGGCTTGGAGGCATGGTGAGGTCAAGGATGCAACATGTAATTTTTATTAAAGGATTTATGAGTTCCAGTGAATGCATTTACATAGCCACATTATTCTGAAGCAAGTCATGTCCTGATGGCAGGTGTTCTGTTCTGTGCTCAGTTTAACTGTTTAGATGCATCATAACATACTCAAAACACAGACGTTTCCTTTCTCCTATAACTCAGGCCTCTAAAATGATTTAAATAAAACTATTTAAGAAAGGGACAATGGCTTTAGTTGAACCGCTCACGGCATATAGTTATATTAAACATGTGACAAGGGGTCATTTTAAGGGGCACAAGCCAAGAAGGTTAAGAACCACTCAGGTATAATGATATGATCTTCCATTACATTCAGTAATGAAAACAATATATGTCCATGGAAACTGACAGAGCCTCTATGTAACCCTCAAAGATTTTATCTGGGTTGTTATAATAAACAGGATATGATTCTTATATGAGCAGATATTTTGATTGGATTCCCAAACCAAATATCTGCTTTGTTTGGTTAACATGTAAATACACTCATTAAACTCATACATATGTGGGTGGCCCAGAATATTCTGACCCAACACAATTAGAGTGTTTTCGTTCCTGTTGTCAATGGCAAAAGATACATTATGTCGTGTTTTAGTCAAATGTGCAAGGTAACTTAACTTACATTAAAGATGCACGAAGATATAGGTGCCAGTAGAAAAAGCATTTCATCCCCACTGTTCAACGCTGTACATTTGCTCAGTTATCCAAATTAAATTCTGATGTCAGGAACGGACCAAGTAGCAAGCTCCTTGGCTGGCAAATGAAGCAGGGACGGAAGGGAAAAAAAAACGGCAGTTCCTTGAACGGCCACTTGTGGCTGGCTACAGAAGTGTGTCGGTCCCCATAAGCCCCCATGTTGAAATGCCCAACTCACTTAACTTTGAATTATATTAGGCTTAAACTTAACATAATTAAGGGCATGGCCGCATGCCCATCTTTGGATTAGCCGGGAGCCGAGTCAGGACTGCCAAAATTGACCACACTGAGCTTCACAATGGCTCTTCAGAAACCTATGGGTGCCCTCGTGAAGACTACGTCCATTTCTATTTATACAGCCTATGGAACAGAATTCTCTGCTCAGAAATAAGGACTGATTCAAATATAAGAGTATATTCTAACACAGCACTGACTGTGACTGGCTTTGCAGTAAAATTCTGCTAGCAACATTAGTCATTTGGTGCCTATCTGTGTAGAGCTCACAGATACGTTGGTAAACATAAAAAAGTTCACTGACATCAGGTTCGATGGCTGTGTCCCCCTTTCATACTATAGGTCCATTCTGTGCAGGCTGTGGGTAGGCTATGTAGTGTATTCACAATGGGAAAGTGACAAAACCAGGTGCCCTCAAACAAGCTCTGTGTCAGCCTCATGCAGCAATAGAGGAAAAGTCAAAAGAGCATAATCAAATTCAGTAGGATTCAACCTGAGGGGATCACAAATGTGTGTACCAAATTTAATGGCAATTCATCCAACTGTAAAGCAGTGGACCGACACACTGCCATCCCTGAGCCATAATGCTAGCATGATGCTGCTGTATGTAGGCCTATGTATACTAAAAAAAGGTTAGATTTTTGAGTTTACTGTTGATGTAAACTATTGTTTCCCAATGCAATGCATACATGAAATGCTACTCAAAGCTACAAAGAATTTAAATAAAGTCCATTTAGTGGTAATCCAGGCCAAGGAAGGTCAGTTGTGTTAAAGTAAAAACATGTAACAGTGACAATGATAGTAAAAAATAAACATAAAATGTCTATTTTTGCAAAAGAAAATCACTGAGTCCCTTATTAATACCTAAAACGTTCCTAAACTAGATTTACTGACTTGAACTAGGTGTGCTGAGAGAGTGAAAACAGAGATGGCATGGTAAACAACAGGAGGAGCAACTCTTAACAAGGCTCCCTACAGCCAAACAGTCTAGTAATTGTCAGAATGCATGACAACCAGCAGAAACAATCCCATCAGCAGAAGGAAAACATCTCCCTCATTCAGGAAAGCATCCTCTTCCTGCTGCGTTTTCCCACCACAGAACAAGAACCACCAGATTCACATGAACAGATGTTCAACAGTAATTGTAAGCTGTCAACATATATAAATATGGTCAAAACAAAAAGACGTATTGTTCAGTGCGAGCAAAACTACTGCAAAAAGGGGGCTTGGTCTGTACAAATTGGTCTAAATCAACATCTCAGTAATTACTTGACAACATGCCCTCTGAGTGCCAGAAGCTTAGTTAAGCAAACTGAGAAAATCTAAACCAATTTCCTCACAGGAAAATATTCGGTGAGCCCTTGAGGACGTTAGTGAGGGAAAA